CTATCTATCTATCTATCTATCTATATATATATATATATATATATATATAAGGGCACCAGCTTGTAGCGCAGAGTTCCATGGCTTTGAAAATAAACGTACAAAAACAGCTCTTTCTGCGAGTCTAGTTGTACAGAAAGCGAATTTTTTATGCTCTAAACTTCAATAATATACTGTGTATCAATTAGGGTCTCAGTGTTCTGGCATTAGATAAACGCCAACTCACCCCACCCCACACAAGTAATTATAAGAAGTTCATTTCCTCGAGACATAATGCATAGTGCTGTCTTATTGTTGTTTCACACTCATAAACATTTTACTGAATACTTGATGTGATGGATCTCATATGAAAGTTCGTATGTCTGTAAAATGGAAGTAGGTTTGATGCTTCACAGTTAGCGTTTGTTAACAAAAAAATTATTTATTTCTGTGTCACGTTTCTCCTCGCAATCCACAATAAACACGTTATAAATTAAACAAATTAGAAATACAAGTTCCCTAAAGTACTAGACTAGTTTTCTTTTAGTGAAAATGTCCCGGTTTATCTTCTCCATTTTAATATATATATATAGAAAAGTTCTGCGCTTAAAAAGATGTCTTAGATCTCAGAAGAACTTTCACATGGCTAAGCCATTTAACTGATCCAGCCTTACAGTGGAGTCTATACATTTTTAAGGTATGCGCTAACTCACACAATTTAAAATTCAAAATAAGGAAACATCATGAAGTTGTCGGGAATAAAGCATATTATAATCAAACAGCACACTAACACTTGTTTAGTTCGTCAATGAAGAATTACACAGCTGTAATGAAGTAATTCACAAGTAAGATTATACCTACCAATGACGTCAAAACCAAATAACTTTAAAAACAGTGACGATTGTAACGATAAAGAGAGTGTAATTTATCTCGAGAACTAGCTTATTGTTTGTTTTTTTTAATTTCGCGCAAAGCTACACGAGGGCTATCTGCGCTAGTCGTCCCTAATTTAGCAGTGTAAGACTAGAGGGAAGGCAGCTAGTCATCACCGCCCACCGCCAACTCTTGGGCTACTCTTTTACCAACGAATAGTGGGATTAATCGTCACATTATAACGCCCCCACGGCCGAAAGGGGCGAACATGTTTGGTGTCATGGGGATTCGAACTCGCGACCCTCAGATTGTGAGTCGAGCGCCCTAACCACCTGGCCATGCCGGGCCCCTAGAGAGATCTAGCTTAAGCTGTCATCATGCAATAAAGTTCTTCTGAAGATGAAAGCTAGTAAGATTCCTAATTGTTGGATATTTTACAAAAAATAAAATATACACAAATAAAGTTGATGTGCCTTTTCAGTACCGTATTAGAAGGAACGGGTATAGTACTTTGTTGTAGGTGGAATAACAAAAAAGACAAGACAGAGTATCGAAGTTAAACTAAAACATTCTGTTGGATGAGTTTGTTTGTTTGTTTGTAATTAAGCACAAAGCTACACAATGGGCTATCTGTGCTCTGCCCACCACGGGTATCGAAACCCGGTTTCTAGCGTTGTAAGTCCGCAGACATACCGCTGTGCCACTGGGGGGCTTGTTGGATGAGAAACAACTGAAGATAAAAAAAAAGCTGTGGTTTATTTGTAGGACTATTGTGTTGTAATGTAAATAAATATATAACTTCATGTAACTGAAAATAGGATATTTGAAAATATTCTCACTTAATAATGAATTAAATAAAATAAAACACACACGATCTAAATGTAGGGAACAAGGACGAGACTTATACGACGGACCTTGACTCGTCCGAGCCAGAAACGAATCTGTCTGATAACGTTAAAACTTCGTCCACAATTCACTTTCTCTGTGTAGGTGACGAATCAGAAAATTGATTCATTAGAATCAGGAAATTTCTCTGCTCTGTGTGACAGTCGTAGATCAGGCCCTCGTACACACAGTAAACAGGACACAATGCAACTATCTCATGAAATAGTAGATAGTTTCCATTATCATAGAGACCACTAGAAACCGGGTTTCGATACCTGTGGTGGGCAGAGCACAGATAACCCTTTGTGTAGCTTTGTGCTTAATAACAAACAACAACCGTTATCAAGTTCAGCCCCACAAACATAAGGTAAGTTATGGAAGGATATAATTCAATCATCTCATTAAACAGTAGTCAGTTTCCATGATCAGATCCAGCTAAAGAATGTCATTTCTATTAGGATTGAATTGAGGATAGGACCTTGTCCGGATTTAGGACGTTCAAATCAGAACTTAGAAAAACTTTAAAGATATTAGATATGAAATATATACTACAGAATAGTAAGATATACCAAATTTGCATAAAATTTACCAAATTTCTTTTAATTATTTCTTAAAATTCCTACATTAGAAATATCCACGTATTTACCTCAAAGCTAGATATTTTTAAAAGTGGAGGTTGGATGTCGTTGAGAAGCATGACGTTTATCCCCTCGTGTGCAAAACGGGAAAGCTTAGTGATGATACATGGGTATTCATATCGACACTGATAGGAGTTATTTACATTTAAGGTTGCCATGGAAACAGTTTGGAATTAGATCGTGGGGTTGTATGTACATTAACCGTCAAGTACAGCTTGAAATACTGTGTTCGTGCTTTATGAATTAGATTGTATTATTACTTTCTTGAACCTAAAAGCCTAGTCACTTACATAAGTCGTAGAGTGTAGATTAATTTCAGTACGAGAAGAGCAAGCTTTCCGAGTTGTGGTTTTCCCTCCCCCAACCAGTCCATTACTTAATTTACTTGAAAGTCGAAACAATATTACTTACTTAGCTCTTACTTAACAGCAAGAAAACTTAAAACTCACCTCAAATTCCATGTCTGAATTATGTAATTCCATTGGTATAAAATGTCCTGCTATGGCATGGTACTGTCTGGAGTATGACCGTTTATTTGAGTGTCCGTTTTTAGCCTCCATCCACTCATTTTGTCTTACTACACTGGACTGTCCTATACAGACAGTAAACAAAACAAAAAAACAGTAACATTATATTATAGTAAACACTCGTATATATATATATATATGTAAGCAAAACATTCAATAACCAGGTATTCGCATCCCAATTGCTAGTGAACATTAAATCGTATCAAATCGAAACGCAAACGTTTCATCAAGCAAATAATTCGAAACATTGCATGACAAACGTATTTTATATACTAGACAAATGAAGAGATTACGCTAAGTGTAAAGGTCAGACCTTCTTAAAAGAAGTAACTTTTGCTTTCAAAAATTTTAAACGCCGATAAAGAAATATAACATTTGAACAATAACTAACTGTGATACGTGGAAATCCCTTACATTAGACTGGGTGGTATCATTGAACAATTGGCCTTAGTCGATTACAAGACAAGAGTAAATTATGATTCTAAAAAAACATATATCTATCATTGAAAGAAAGAAGGCTTGGAAGTCCACTAGCGATATAAAAGTTAATAACAATCTCATCGATCTGCAAGTACTTTCATCAAAGAAGTTAAAGGAATAAAGTATCTTAAATGAAAAAAATTACCTATGATGTAAATACCTAGTATTGAATAAATCGGGAAATCAAATCTATTGAGAACCGTTAACCCAAGTATTACTTGTAAGACAAACATCAGAAAAATTTATCTCATTTTGATCAGATTTATTAACAATTACTATGAATTCTTTATTAATTTTCTGCTACACAAATCTTCAACATGCTAATCAGGGAGGCTTGTTTGAGACGATTAATATTTTCAAGAGCATTTCAAATTACATCGTGTTACTATTTATTAGATCTGATATCGTATTTGCACTAGATAGGATTGATAAATGCAATTTTAAAAGAGTAAAGTCACGTTACTTTGGAAATTCTTTATTGATGGTAAAAACATGAACAACTTCTGAATGTTTTGGTTATTGCCTACAAACCAGCAAAAGTTGATTAATAGAAAAGAAACATTAATTGTATAATTAAACAAGATCCAATAGAACTTGTACACCATGTAATATTCTCTATGCCCAAATTTACATTGGACAGTATTTGGAACTAAACATTTTGGACAGCGAAAAGTGCACGGTATAGTACAGAGTCACTTCTGGCATTAGTGTTAGTTTCTCATTACTTGTACGTATATAAATCACCAGAACTAAACAAGAGTCAACTTGTACATCATATAATATTCTTTAGTCCACTTTTACACTGGACAATAATTGGAATCTGAACAACATTAAACTGAAGATGGGAACTTCACTTCGACATTGTGTTTTTCCAGATCGAGAGATAGGTTTTAATCATTCAGGCATAATTTTTTAATCTAACAGTATCTACTGAAAAAATGATACAACTGATTTCATTTCAGCACATCATCTTATGATCTAAATTTTTGCTTCTTTATAAGTATTTTATTCACTTTGTTATTTCAACCATGCCATGGTAAATAAATAACAATATAATTATTCTATGTTTTATAATTTGATTAAATAATTAGAAGATCTTGGATATAACTTACTGGCAGTGTAGTCGTACTGAAGATACACAGTATTTATCTTCGGATAAACATATGTAATCTGATATATAGTTTTAATGTCATTTAAGACGTTTGTTACCCGTTTGTTTGCTATTCTTTTTCAGCATTACTTATTACTAAAATATTTTCACCAACAAAAGAATAAATAACTGATCATTTTCTTGTGGTGTTGTTTGTTTCATAAAAATTCAACTTTCCATTCCAAGAACAAACAACTAAACAAAAGAAACGTTAACTACCATAATCGAATAAACTGGTTTGAAGTCAGAGTACATAACTACTTAAAAACAACTTAATTAAAAAACGTTTTATACAAGGCTTAAAGTTTAGAATAGCTGCATTAGGCCTTAGTAGTAGCTGTTCATTTCTTAAGAAATTCCGAGACAGTCAATGAAATATTCAATTGAGTATGACTATGATAATCAAACAATGAGTAATTTTCAGTGTTAATAAAAACAGATTAGAATACAATGCATCATTCCTTGTTAGAATAAATTTCGTAACGCCAAGTAACAGCAAGCTTTTTCACTCACCGGTAAGTAAACATTTATGTTTTATTCTAACATTTTATCATAAATGCCATATTTCTCTTATTAATATGCCCCTTCGTGTTTTTAGCCGCGGCAAAGCGGCTCATATAATGGCCGAGTTTTCAAAGTACAAACATTTAGCCCACAACTACGTCATCTCTTGACCGATTTAAGATATAATTACAGTTTTGTACTCAGGAGGTCAAACCCTTTCGATTGATTTATTTGACCACACCCGAGGTCTCATAGATTAATTCACTCTAATCCTACCTTAAAGATTTTCAATTTGAGGGTAGGCTCGTAGAGATCCTGGTGAGTAATAAAATCAAATCGAGTATACGTGCGTTCTACACTTGGTATTGGTGGTGCACAAAAATATAGCTAATAAAAAGGAAAATAAAAGTATCATAGATTAATTTACTCTAATCCTGCCTAAAATAATTTCAATTTGATGGTAGGCTGGTAGAGATCCTGGTGAGTAATAAAATCGAATCGGGTATACGTGCGTTCTATGC